TCAATTTTTTTCTACTATTTAATCAATAAAAATATATTACTTTACATAAATATCACGCAGTATATGTTAATTTTATTTTATATCCTAACAGAAACAACACCAACACGGCTGATCACAATTCACTCATGTTGTGGTACTTTATTATTGCAACCTCCATTGCGAGTATAAAAGGGTGCGGTGCAGTTGGGTACCGTAGCCGAGTTGCATGAGCGCCTGGTGCGCATCTGAGTGACCTTTCTCTATTTTCCTTCTACTTCATTTCTACGCTTTTACATTGCATTACGTGCTACAATAGTAATATACTTGCGCAGACGCATTACCATCCAAGCACCCACACAAATCCGTAAAAATACAAAGACTACACCCACACATCCACCAACACATTAACATTTATACAAGCGCGCTCTTACACAGACACAAATTCTTACACCTTATACCGCAGCCAAGCGCATTGCCCACGACCCCCTCCGCCACACCCCACCGAATGCCCAATCCGCTCACCGGCCTGCGGGTGTCCGCGCTGACCGCTGCCGCTGTCCTGCTCGCGCTGCTTGCCGGGACCCCGCTGATCGCTGCGGGGCACCGTTGCATCTTCGACGAGCTGCAGCGCCAGCAGCTGGCGACCGGCACCAGTGCCGTCCCCGAGGTGGCGCACCGCGAGGCGCCGCAGCAGAAGCAGGGTGCGGAGCAGCATGGCAGCCCCACCGCCCCTGGCTCATGGAAGCCGATCCGCATCTCGGTGTTCACCAAGGACCTCGACGACAGCTCCCGCTACTGCACACAGCCCGGAGAGATGAGACCCGACTTCAGAGGCTCCATGATAAAATGTGATGAAGATAACGTTCTCACCGATGAAAAGAAGCAAGCGCTGCGTGAGGTGCTAATCCCCAACACGGTGCAGATGCACCAGGACCGCCTGCTAGTGCAACCGCTCAGACACAACATCCGTGTTGAACACTTCACGGGGGACCTTTGTTCTCACTTTACGATTCCCAAGTCCCACCACACCACCGGTGTGCCGAATACCGACTTTGTACTGTACGTAGCGGCGGGACCAATAGTATCTGAAGCTATCGCGTGGGCACTTACGTGCCAGTATGACCGCAGCGACCGCCCCATCGTGGGTGGTTCTAATATTGGGTCAGTAGATATTATGAACGTTCTCCATTTTACTCGTGTTCTGACACACGAATTACTGCACGCGTTGGGATTCAGCATTAGATTATTTAACAGGAGAAACATGATTGATGCTGTGTCTGTTCGCGGTAAGCCACCAAGTTATGTTCTGAAGTCGCCCAAAGTGGTGGAAGTCGCGAGGGCTCATTACGGGTGCAGTACCATGCAGTACATGGAGTTGGAGGATGACGGTGGGTTGGGGGCTATAAGCTCACACTGGAAGATGCGCAACGCAAAGGATGAATTGATGGCTCCTACCGATTCTGCAAATTTCTACACCGCCATCACCATCGCAGCGATGGAGGACACGGGCTACTACAAAGGCAACTACCGCAATGTTCAGAGTATGGTATGGGGTAAGAATGCCGGCTGCATGTTATTTGATGAGAAGTGCGTTATCAACGGTGTGTCGCAGATGCCGGAGATGTTTTGTGACCGTAAAACTGCTTCAATAAGTGAGTTCAAGTGCTCATCAAACCGGCTGGGCATCGGAAACTGTACAATGGAGTATCATGATAGCTTGCCAACATATTTCCAGTACTTCTCCGATACGACAATGGGTGGGAAATTTGGTTGGATGGATTACTGTCCGTTCATAAACGAATATACTGACTCTATGTGTTCAAGTGGGGATGAAGAAATATTACCCGGTTCTGTGTTTTCCGAATCATCGCGATGTTTTTCAGCTGTCCCAAGCACTTCCCTCCAGATAAGCGATGGCCAAAATATGTTCGCTATCTGTGCGGATGTGCAGTGCGACAAGGACACCTCGAGGTACCGGGTGCGGGTGAAGGGTACCAGTGAATTCGTTGACTGCCCACCCGGAAGTACCCTTGTGCTCTCGGACCACAGTGCAGAATTCAACTCTGGCTCGATCGAGTGTGCACCATACGAGGAGGTGTGCCCTAAATCCCTTTACCCCGACGATGATTATGAAATAATAATAACAAAAACAACAGAGCCTCATCCCGTAAGACTAAAGGCTACAACTAGTTTCCTTTCACGCTTTTGGCGGTCCTGACTGCTGTAATTTTCGTTCTGATTTATAAGTTGCGGCAATGTGTGTGCCGAGGGTGAGCTTCAGGGCGCATGCACCCGACAAGGATGTAAAACGGTAAAACTGAGGGTGAAGAGCTATACGTTGCTTCTGATCGTTTTTTCAATGAAATGATTTTCATTTTTTTTAATTTCATAATGTAGAAAAATTTTTATTTTCATTTAAATATTTATATTGACTTTTCTCTTTTCAGACCTACGGGATGAATTCTTTCTGATC